TTTTTTTTTTTTTCTTTTATATTTCCCTTTTATTTAAAAATTTTTTCGCATAAACACTTTCACATATATTCTATTTTCACCCGGGTTAAAATCACTCGATAAATTTATTCATTTACGTGACTAAAATTATTAGTATTGGTAATATTTCGGGTGACTTTAACCCGGGTGAAAATAGAATTTCACAATTTGCAATATCAAATGTATAAAATTTTATTATTTTTTTTATTTCAATCAATCATGTAACTTTCAATTACAAATAATATACAATGCTTTAGCAAATTCAAAAACAAATAAAAATATAAAATGTTTAGCAAATTCAAAAGTCGGATTTGATTTATCATGTAAATGAAATTTTTAATTGGATCGTGATCGCCAAAGCTGCAGAGAAAAACAAAGTCGTTGTGTCTTTTAAAACTATACCGTATCAAGTCGTTTATACAAAAAACTATTTTGTATTAAGTCGTTTATACAAAAAACTATTATATATTAAGTCGTTTATAAAAAAAAACCATATATAATGAATCGATTCGTTTATCTTAAAAATTTCTTGAGATATACAGAAGTTCGATTTAAAGTTCATTCATTCATATTACTATCGTTACGATCTTTTCCTGATGTACAGCATGAATTACTAGATTTAGTCATGTGTTCCGGCAAGCTAACATTGGTGGTACTATTGGAAGACAAGACCCATTCCAAGAGTAGAAATGGATCCTATCCATTGTTTAGAATTCAGAACAAAAATTACTTGCAAGTAAAAAAAATTCTTTTACTGCACAGTTGCGCAAAAGTACTATTATTGACCAGGATAATTCATCGTTATTGACCGGCCTTAAAAAAAAAAAAAAAAAAAAAAAAAACCGATTACATTATTACGCATAATTGTGCAATACTGATACTGCAATGAATAAATCACATGTCATATGCGTATAATATTAATTTAACATTATTTCAATAAATTACATTTCATATACGTATAGTATTAATTTAACATCAGCAATTAGAACTTTAATGCCTGTTTTGCCATCGAACCAAGTAAATAATTTTTTCTTATTCAATTCCGCGTTATCGTCTAAGTGAATATTTTGCTCAATACAAGCTTTTACGAAATCGCACCTTTTCCAATCTGTCTGTTTTTCTTCAAAAAGTTTTTCAAGTGCAGATCGTGTGATGGTTTTGTTGGGCAAGGTTATATCACCATTATCCCTATTTAGTTCCTGAAAAGATCGAGTCAATCGAGTCTACAAAGTATATGTTTTTTAGCATATATTTTTGATTCATCGCCTTTCATTATTTAAATTACTAACCTTTGTAATATTACATTTCCGGTTACGAATTGCAAGTGTTGTTCGTTTTTGAATTGATGGAGCCAATGGTTTTAATGTTTCATCTATATTATCTGCCTGAAATTCTCTTGGCTCATTTATTATAGATAACTCAACTTCCTCACATAAGATAGAGCTAT